CAGCCTGTAGCCAGGGAAAGCTGCATCCTCTGCTACTCTAGATCTGAATTAGCAAAGTTACAATCGTAGTAAATTTCGCCCCGTTCGTCGGGCATCTATTGACTCACTCCTGCTTTCGGCTCTCCGCTGCGATTTGCCGCGCGGAAGAATGAACCCTCAGCGAGGACAGATGCAAAGTTATTTTGCTGCGATCGCTTCAAAGCGCTACGGAACTGTAATCAGCTGGAGATTAAAATCCTTAGGATTTCAGAGAATTTTAACAGTGCCGGTATTAAGAATCAGCACGTGGTGGGTTTCCCTCCTTCGAAAGCCCAGCTGTCCAAAATGAAACCTTACACGGAAAGCCAGAACACTTTTGCAGTCAAATCGTTCCAAATTATTGTATTTCCTCTCGCTAAAAAGCACCCAACAGCCGATCTTCACGCCCTAGGGTTTGTACTGTGAGAAAAACGTGAACATAACGCAAAAGTTCAAATCTTCAAATTAGAGACAAGAGAAAACGCTTTATTTGAAATACCTGACACTAAAGTGAAGTTGTAAGTGCACAGCAGCAGTCAGATCGGGCGTGGTATCAGTCAAACTTCACGGCTTTGTTTGAAGAGTTAAAATAAGGAATAACCAATTTGGAGCATGAAGTAAACAGAGCACAGCGCCGAGTTTGCTTGGGGAAAGGCATTTTTATTAACCGTGGAGGCTATTTCCTATGGCACTTATGAAAGATTTCCCACTCCCCTCGCTCTTCTACAGTGACGGTACCTTCTGCTAATAGTGTACACACACACAAGAAATTACATCCGACCTTAATCAGCTATTCACCTCGGTTGCAGGCAGATTTGGCCATGAGAATGGCAAGTGATGGAAAAGACACCGCACCTGGGGACATTAGAAGTTACTGCAACCCCCCAGATCTGCACATGAAAACACTAGGAAATAGCACAGCAGAAGTGGGATTAGAGACGAAAAACCAGTTCAAACCGTATTCACCGTGTATTTATCTTCCGCTCGGGACCCAGGTGCATGCTGAGCCTAGCTTTTGAGAGAGAATTCGCAGTAAGAACATTTTCACCCTCTTCTCGCAGACCAGGAACCCCTCCCCCGGGCAAACTGAGGTTTATTTGGGGAAGCAGAAGCCAACTTGCATTTCAACGTTTTCTTCTTGCCAGCATTTCCATGAACAAACAAACCTTCCATGCCGTTACAGGGTAGTCATTCAAGCGTTTACTCTCTCTCCCTTAATAGCTGCTACATTTTATTTACACATACAGCTGTTTACTTGTTCGCAAGAATCTTAGTGCTCTTTCATTGGACCGGTAGCAAAGTTCCTTATATCCAAAGATTACTTTACACCCTACTGGATTCCACACAACTCTAGAAAATATTCAAAGTGCAAAAAGGAAATAGATTCATCTAAGCTAAGTGATTCATAAATATGAACAGAGCCATTTCTCTTTGGAGGAAATATAGACATGTAAGGAATAACAGAATGAATTTACTATTAGTTTGTTGAGCCATAGCTTTTCACTGAGAGGTTAGCATGCTCAATAACACCACTTGTAAGAAATTAAAACTACATGAGGTAGAATTTTCCAGTCGTTCATTAGTTCTAAAAGGTCTTTAGACATGTACATCACTGTGCAATTGCAGTATATCCAGAATAATTTAAAGGGAGGAAAAATCAAGCTGATCAGTTAGACTGCCGGAACTGCTATTTAAACCACCACACTGCGGGGGGGATGGGAGTGGGGGGGGAGGGGTTGCACAGCATCCACTAATGAAATTTAAGTTTGTTTTTCAGCCAGTTTACCATCAGAAAATAAAGCTTTAATTCTAGTTGAGAGGATAGCTCTGCCTCCTCCTCCCCTAACTTCGCAAAACACAAGTAAGCCCCACATATAAAAAGATAATCAGCTGTTAAATCAGTGGCATAGGTGGAAAACAACATTGCTTAGCAGCAAAACAGAGGCATAGAAGCAACCTTTTCAGGCTGGGTTTTCTTGCTTTAAAGTTTTACCCTTATCTTTTTGAGGATAATGCAACAAATGAAGTAGAATATAAGGAGCACATTATTCATTTTCTTTCTGCCAGGTATAATTAACCATCCCTCTTCCTGGATCATCTTCCTATGAATTAGACTCTCTGAGCAGTGTCTCATGGGAAGCCGCTAATCCGCGCAGTGTCTAGGGGATGAGAACATTCACCGCTTTACTTACTGTGGGATCTGGGCACAAACTGATTCTTGGGGCTGTAGGGCAAATTTGTTCTCACTGAAGAATTACAAACTTCTGCCTTGCCAACTCGGAGGCTAAATTCTATTTTAAATTACATGCAATCTCATTTCAAAAGTATCAACTCTCAACAACCTGAACATTTCTTTACCCTACAGAGATGATCATCAGAGTTAAGGTCAAGTAGGTTTTCTGTGCCTTCCAGGGTTGGTTTTAGAAGAAGGTACAAGAAGGCAAAATAGATTTTTCTTTAGCTATGGAAGAAATTTTTGCCCACTAATATAGGAGACTCTGTTTTGGTCACCAGCCCCAGAAGACTTGATCCAAATTGATGCTGAATACTTTGCAGGATGAGAAAAAAGGAATATTAATGACATAAAATACATACCAAAAATAGGGGAAATCCCTTTCTTTTTTGTTTCCACATGACAAGAGGAGAGGCAGGAGAAGTGGCCCATAATGCCACTGTGGGGAAAGGCTACCAACAGTCTCTGAATAAATATCTCATTTAAATCCACTGGCATCTTGTTGCTCTACTTGGAAAGAGGGAATATCATCATCTGCTGTTGCCACTGTCATATGAGCAAATGCAAAAGGGTGCAGGGATTGAAGCCAGGGGCTGAGAAAGGGAGACAGAATACAAAAACTATTTCCT